AGAAAAGTCATTGTAATGCTACACATCTTAATTGATATTCCAAATTTGTATTCTAAGTGATGCTGTATCTTGTATTGCTAATTCATGTATAGACAAGTCACTTCAAATGAGTTTCAAACCACTGCTTGAGATTCGTATTTCATTCATATATTTTCCATGAGTACGGATTTAAAGTTCAAAAAAAAAAAAAAAAAAAAAAAAAAAACAACAGAGAAAGAAAGAAATCATCGGACCTTAACCAAGGCAAAGAGATTCTTTATGAACAAAAAAGGATCATGCATATGAGTTAAACTTACAACTCTTTTTATTTGTTTTGTCTTTTGCAGCTTTATGACCCTTGATTAGGCACAAGCACTTTTCTACTGTTAATGTCAATTTCCATAGTCTGGGCTTGCATGAATCTTGGACTAAGTAGTCATTTAGATAAAACACATGTACATGAAACTCCAAAACGGTAGTTGATTCAACGACCTTCTATGAGAATTGATCAACAGTTGACATGGTGTGAGAAGAACCACTTTCCAGCAACCAGAAAAAGTCACTGGAACATTAGAAGCTTCATTACTTGCGTGGAATGCAGCAATCAAAGGGCTATCAGGGGTTATATGTGGTAATATGACACACCATCAAATACTGCATCACGCCTCCTGCTAGGCCTACCTGCTGGGTTTGGATGTGAACAAAACATGCCTAGTTTCAGAACTAACTCCATTTGCTCCTCTGCATAAAGACCTTCCAATCTTGGATCAGTAGCATCAAGAATATTTCCTCTTTTCCAGCAATCAATGACCCAATAACCAAATTTAGGTTCCAGGCTCTATAGGCATAGCTCCTCCCACAAGCTACCTCAAGCATACAAGCCCCAAAGCAAACACATCTGTGCTTGTGGTAGCCTTTCCAGCCTAAGAAGCTCTGGAGCCAGATAACCCAAAGTTCCTATCAGGTTTGTGGTTTTTGGATTGCTACCATGATCATAGAACCTAGCAAGGCCGAATCCCCTAATTTTCCGCTTAAGGTCAAAGTCTAAAAGAATATTACCAGGCTTTATATCTCTATGTAGAACAACTTGCTCCCCATCTTATGAAGGTAGAGAAGGCCAGAAGCTATTCCTCTGAGAATTCGAAATCGCTGAAACCAATTAAGGCTGGTCTTGCATTGTATATAAAATATTATCAAGACTTCCGTGAGCCATATAATCAAGACTAATAAAAGTTGCTGTTTCTCCTGCAGTAGCCACGGAGTTGTACCAAGTTCCTATGTCTTAGCCTTCCCATGCTGACTATCTCGGCCACAAATTTGACATCCCTTGCTTGGAACATGGGAGACTTTCTAACTGCAATTTGTTCATTGGAAGAGAATGACACCCGAAACCTTACCGAATCCCCTTCTCCAATAAGCTGTTTGTCATTAAACCTCTGGTTGCTTTGTATAGATCTTATAGGAGAACCTATGAGGACCATATTGTCTTTCCCAGTCTTCCAATAATTCTTCGTATTTCTTCTTCTGAACAATGTAAACTGTTCCACCAATTGCTATAAGCACAACCACGTGCTATGAGGGAAGCAATAATCTTTAAATTCGTTTTGTTGATCCTCTGACAGGAAGTGAAGGAAGCTTCGAAATATCAAGATTTTGTGCTTGTCCACTTTTGTTGAAACTCCATCCAAGGATATACTGGCCACTTACAAGTGCACCTGTTGATGCAGAAAAACCAACATACATAGAGTCCAAGAAAATTTGAGAAAGATCAATGGATGTTGACAAGAGGGGCCTGTTTGGTTTGGGATTCTGATTGGAGCAAGTGTTACATTGAGTAATTTCTCGGTTTCATCGAAGTCAACCATATCTGCATTGGATTCCACTTGCTAGCTCCAAGGGTATGTTCTTCATTTCTTTATCGGAAAAATAAGTTGCTGTAGAGATTCGTTAGACTCCAGTTTGTTATGTCAATTCCCACATGGTTTTCATTTATATCATAATTCAACAGTTTGTACAGTATCAAGCTCAACTGCAAGATGTGGTTTGTTGACAGGCCATCATTTGAGAATTGAAGAGTCCCAAATATGCGGTCGGGCGTACCTTTGCTTAAGTCCAAGGATGGTGAGATGACCAAAGCCATGCCATGGCCACTAAGTTTATTATTAGGAGCTGGAACTATTGCAATACAAAAGTGGTTGAAAAGAGAGGATTTATAGGATGATACGTTGAACTTGAAGAAAAGGGGTAGAAAGCATGGCCTGTTTTAAGCTGGTAGCGTTGGTTAGCTGCAGTAGACCATTGGAAAGGATTTCGCCATGCCATCCAGACAGCTTGGATTCGCTGAAGCCATGGTAGATGAACTGGTTTTCATCTTGGGCTGAGATCAAGGAAATCAAGAGACATTGAAAACTATCCAAAAAAGAAGTGACTGAGAGCTGCCGCCATTGAGATAAGGGGGTGCTTGCAAAGAGAGATGTTTTGCTTGTTTACAATCTCTAACTCTTGAGACTTAGTTTTCGTACTCTAAAAAATATGCCTACAGATTCGAATTAAGGTTTATTTTATTTTATTTTATTTTTAAGCAGACCTGGCCGGCAGGGTAACACTGAAGTAACATTTGTTTTTTTTTAAGAAAAAAACCCTTTTCATCTAGCTGTCAATGATAGAAAGGAAAAGGACAACTTCTGACTTACATGTTTTCCTAGCTAGTAAGTGGCAAGTGAAAGCTGATATACTGTCTTACCTCATTGTCAGCATAATACCGTACCAGTGAATGAGGTTCAAAGAAAGATAATATAGGATGATGATGCATTAATTGGTTAACATGACGCTTTATTGATATTTAGAATTCAGTAAGATTTACTTAAAACCTGTAGACTTTGTTTAGTTAGTGAATACTGTTTTATAGATATATAAAGAATAAGAATGGAGACATTAAACATTCTTTGTTTTGCCTGTCTTCTGCTTTTAGTTTGAAGATAGTCATTAAGATTCTTTTTATTTTTTAATTGGTAAATGTATTATGTGCTCTGTTTTCAATGTGGTGTTGAAGTTTCAAGATGAGATGGGGACAGAGAAACTAAATATATCAGTTTTATTTGGCTAATTGTTCTTCAAACCTAATTTATGAATAATAAATTGCAACGGTCCCTTGGAATAGCTGAGGGCTGAATGATTAGGGTTGATGAATGCCAATACGTTACTGGCAGAAGGTAATATTAACTAGTATTTGCAGTAGTCATATACTCAACAGTCATGATACTAAAAATAACCGTAATATTATAACAACAGCCATGGAACTTCCCAAATATCAGGCATCAGCTTAAATTTCAAAGTCTCCTCAACCACCAGCAATGAAGCTTTCGTTGTTTAAAGAATGTAGGCAAGTCAAACATAAAAAGTAAAAAAAAAAATTTCTACAAAGCTTGTAACCGCCATCTTTATTAAACTAATGCATCATTTGCAGGAAATCAGGGCTTTGTACAGTGTCAAACCCAACCCAAAAGACGAGGTTTGTAGACAGGCCACTTTCAGAAGTATTGGAGAGTAACTGATCATCTTCCGGCAAAGGCGAAGTTTTTACTCAGTTTAGTGGCTTTGCGAAACCCAAGATATATATTTCAAACAGAATATTGCAAGAAAATACTGGAAACTTATGACCCTTAATTAGTTTTCATTTGAAATCCTAGATAACAATGCAATTAGGCATCCATTTTAGAGAGAAACAGAGTGTTGCATGGTGGAAGTGTTACCTGAAAGTAAAACCTGCCGCCACCAGATAATAGTTATGAATGCGACTTTAACTCACATGTGTTAGATGAAAGAAATTTTTCTTAAAACTGTAGTTTCTAGTCAACATTTGGAAAGTCAAGTACCCTTTACCTCTTTAGGTTGAACTTCCAAAGATGAATGCCTTTAATAATCTAGAGTTAATGCAAATATTTCCCCTGCTGGTTGGAACTACATATATACACATTATTTTGGACTTCAGATTTATATTTTTAACTTGGCTGAATAAACCAAAAAGTTTATCAAACTCAGCAAGTACGTTTAGGGAAAAGTATTGTTAAATGAATAATATATGAAAAGAGACAAAACTGGAGACTGGCGCAGGAAACTTGCAAAATTAATCTAATGCCCTTTGTTTAAACCCTACAACACAGTTATTTCTTGACTCTAAGCCATATGTTTACAGCATTTACCTGGGTTATATATCACAGCTTGCTATTTTGATAATGATATGGAGACATACACATTCTGGGTTTTTATTAAAAGCTAAACTAGAATCGACGTTTTATTAGCCAACAAAACAAGATTATCTTAGATCATCTCCAATCCATTGCACCAATTTGGTGCAAAATGGTGTAAATTTTGGTGCAAAACACTATTCCATCTCTAACCCACAGCACCAAATATTACACCAAAAAGAATATTTTTTAGAATATTTTTTAGAATATTCTTTTTTCTTTTATTGTAATAATCAATAATTAATCTATTTCACTCATTATTTTTGTATATATTAATTAAATATTAGGAATGATATTTTTTTTAAATAATAATTATTTTAAAAATTATACTAATTTAATAAAATTAAGCATTTATTTAATCAAATAAACATTACATTTAATATAGAAAAACATTACATCTAATATAAAATGATAAAAAAAAAAAACAACACAAAGGTAAAATTCCATATTGATAGTAATTTAATTTTCCGAATTAATTTTTATTTTGAGTTATTGTAGTTTAATATTTGCATTGAATAAAGTTTTATTTTTAATTTTTCATCATTTTTTTAATTATATCATTATTATGAATTTATTATTATAAATAATAATCAAATTAAATTAAATATAAATAATTAAATTTGGTGTGATTTTTGATGTAAAATTTAATACTTAAATTAACTTAACAAAATTAAAAAAAAAACAAAAAAAAGAAAAAAAATTTATTGGCGTGGGTTGGAGATGCCCATTAAAAAATAACAAGTCAAGTCAACAGTGATACAAGTAGTACCAGTTTTACAAATTCAAAAGTTAGAGAAACAGAGTATTTCAGAATCTTTGAATATTTCTCTTTATCCTCCAACCATGATATGTCCAAAGGACGCAGCTATTGCATAAAACTCTTGACTCAGCGGCCCAGCACGAGGATTGAATCAACAGTGGACAAGGTGTGGGAAGAAATACTTCCAGGCAAGGAATCAAATGACAAAACAATATCAGGAGCTTCATTCCTCGCTGTTGTTGTGCCTACCATGGCGCTATCTGGAGTTATACTGCAATTTTGCTTCACGGTCCAGATACTGCGCCACCTGCTTCATGCTAGGCCTAGTTTCTGGGTTAGAGTGTGAACAAAAGAGGCCAAGTTTAAGAACCAACTCCATTTGCTCTTCCACATACATACCTTCCAATCTAGGGTCACTAACATCTAGAATTGCTCCTCCTTTCCAGCAATCAATGACCCAAGCAGCCAAATCTACCATTCCAGGCTCTATAGGCCTCCTTCCACAGGCAACCTCAAGCATAAACGCTCCAAAAGCAAATACATCAGTGCTAGTATTTGCTTTTCCAGTCTTAAGCAGCTCTGGAGCTAGATAACTGACAGTGGTGGTTTGTGCATTGCTACCATGATCATGTAATCTAGCAAGCCCAAAATCTCCTAACTTTCCGTTCAGATCGGCATCTAAAAGAACGTTGGCAGCTTTTATGTCTCTATGCAGAACAACCTGTTCCCACTCTTCATGGAGATAAAGAAGGCCCGAAGCTACTCCTCTGAAAATCCGGAATCTCTGAAACCAATTAAGGTTTGGTTTTGTATCGCCATATAAGATTTTGTCAAGGCTTCCACTAGGCATATAATCATAGACCAATAGAAGTTCCCCCCGACGCCTGCAATAGCCCTGGAGTTGAACCAAATTCCTATGCCTTAGCCTTCTCATGCTCACAATCTCGGCCACAAATTGCTTCATCCCTTGGTTTGAGTTATGGTTGATTCTCTTGACTGCGATTTGTACATTAGAAGGAAGAACACCTCTGTACACCTGTCCAAAACCTCCCTGTCCAATAACCTCTTTTTCTTTGAAACCTTTGGTTGCTTTGAAGAGATTCTTATAGAAGAGCCTATGGGGACCATATTCTTTTTCCCAGTCCTCATATACTTCTTCATATTTCTTCTTCCTCACAATGTAAACAGCTCCACCAACTGTTATCAGCGCAACCGCTAGTGCTACAAGCAAAACAGTAATAGTTCGATCTAGACCCTAATTGGTTTTCTCAGGTGGAGGAAGTGGTGGAGGAGGAGGAAGCTTTGAAATATCAAGGTTTTGTGCTGGTCCACTTTTGGTGAAGCTCCATCCGAGAATATAGTGATCACTTATACGCGCACCAGTTGCTGCAGAAAGACCAACATACATAGACTCCAATAGAACTTCGGAGAGATCGATATGTTTTGACAGCAGAGACCTGTTTGGTTTTGGAATTTTCAGTGGAGCTATTGTTACACTGAATAATTTTTCTGTTCCATTATAGTCTATCCAAATCCGAATTGATTTTCCACTTCCTAGCTCAAAAGTTTCATTCTTTTCTTCTTTATTGGAAAAGTAACTTGCTTGTTTTTGAAACCATGGCAAACACGAAAGTTGTGGAAAACGAAAGGGTTTGAGAGGTAGATGAGTTGAATTTGAAACGAGAAGGGTAGAAAGCATAACCGGTTTTTAGCTCAGAAGTGTTTGTGAGCCGCAATAGACCATTGGGAAGAATCTTTGCCAAGCCACCCAGTTGCAGTTTCGAGTTGTTGAAACCATGGTAGATGAACTGGTTTTCTTCTTGAGCCAAGGCCAAGAACAATGATAAACTGAAGACTATCCACAAATAAAGATACCCTTGAGCTGCAGCCATTTAGAAAATGGATCTGCTTTTTGCAAAGAGAGTTTATTCTTTCTGGTTAGTAGTCTTAGACTCCTAATAGATCAGTTTTCCTTGTCTTAAGATACTCTTGCTGTTGAGAGAGAGAGAGTAATCAAGTTGACCCTGGAAGTTATGGTCAGCTAATGACCTAAATAAATAACCACTTGACATTTCCAATCTTAAAATATGATCTTCTGTATTCATCGAATTTGTAAAAGAGCTACCCTGGATTTTAAGTGGCATAGTGAAAGAACTTCTTACTTTTATCCTTTGTAAACCTTTTCAATGCAGGATGAATGAAAGCGGATAGACCTTGTTAATGGGAACCAGAGCGCAGATTATCTGTTAAAAGGTCTACTCTATGATAGTTTTGAGAGTGTATGACAGAATTGACAATTGCTTAATTATTCCTTCTACTTGGTTTTTAGTTCTTGTAATATATGAAAGAGAATAAGCTGGTAGAAGTCAGCCTGGTTTTTTATTTTTTATTTTTGCCTGTCTTCTGTTTGAAGTTTCTAGTTTGCTGATTAATATTTTGTTTTTAATTTTTTATTGTTTGAACTTCAAAAATGCAAGTATAAGTTAGAGCCTTTGCTTTCAGCATGGTTTGAAGTTTCAATATGGCAGAGCGATGAGCAAATATAAAACTAGATACACATCATTCTTCTCACCTAACACACAAACATAAGTTGCAAATATATGTCTAAGCAGAAGGGATAATAATATATGCTATAATCAAATCGATTGAAATATAGCATAACCTGTCCTCTTCGTGGAATCAGTCTTCAGTTACCCACATCAGGCTCTCATTAGTCTCCGCACCTTATATTGAGACCCAGTAATTGAGATTTCTACACAAGTGAAACATATCCACGTAAGCTTACATCTCCCCTGACCTTGAGCTATTGCATGCAGCCTTTCTCAAACTGAGATATGACATGAGCCAAGTATGAAGCTTAATATTTTAGCAAGTAGTGTTATAGGTTTTCGCAAGTGTACGAAATCTGTGTAAGTGATAAAATGTATTAATACGGATATCAAACTCAAAGGAAATATTATTATCAATTACCAAATTAAACTATACTATTATTATTTGATTAATATAAATTGTATCAAGGAAAATCTAAATTAAATTAAAAAAAAAATCTGAAAAGAAAACAACTAAAATAAATCTTTTGGTTTAAAACAGGATGAGTAGACCTAGGGCGTAGATTTCAACTCTTATTTATATGTATTGATCACTTATGCTAATTTCATTAAGCTCTTCCTATAGCTGTATTTAAAATATGATTGGTTGTAAAATAATCCTTTTAGAATTCAAATTCTTTTGAAGGGCAAAGCCTATATTGGTCAGTCTGGATCTCAATTTTTAACCTAAATTCACCTGATTTTGATCTCAATTTTTATGCCATGCTCTTTAATATTCAGCAAGTGCAGAAGCTGAATGATATGCTGCTTGGACTCATGCATTTTCTGGTAACAACAGAATTATAATCTTGAATTGTTAATTGTTATTCTAAATATATTCATAGTTATAGAACTATTTAAAATATTAATTATTTATATTTTGCTATTGTTATTATACCATGGATAGTCCAAAACCCAGTAAATTGTTCTGAGAAAAAATTATCACAATTTTACCGGTGAGTCTGAAAAACTTGATTTTGTTTGGCCAATATGACTTTCTGGTATAAACCAATTAAATAAGAACTAAAGCCAACATTGTCTTGGATTTTGAGCTTTGCTAATATATTTTGTTTAAGTAGAAAAACTCATGATCCATAATTAACTGCCACACCTTGACTTTGAGTTTTGATTCAGAAGGAAGATCAATTTGGATGTTGGTTTTCAGGGGAACCCCCGAACCAAGTAAAAAGTGGAATCGCAGTATTGGTGATATGAAAAGGGAAGATGCCAAGGCACTGTGACGTACTGCCGCTAATCTATATCGACATTGATGCATGCCCAAGGTACTAATCTCAGTTCTAAACAAAGTATATTTAGATTTACTCATAAGGAGTATGTGTACTTGGCATTTGGGTATGTGCTTAATGACACGTATTTATGTGGTTACTTTGATGCTTTGATTGATGGTGCTTCCTTTGGGGACAATGATCGTCCTACGAGTTTGGCCTCTCTCACGCTGCTACAATTCTTGCTATTGGATATATGGACTCCAAACTTCAACTCTGGTATGTTCAGGCTTCAAAACTCTTAAGCAGCTTTCATGATCATGATCAATTACTCCAGGACTCGTAATAAGTTAATTTTAAACATAATTTTATATTTTGTGAATGCAGGTTAAGAATCTAGATGGTCCTCACAGAAAAGTAAGAACTTATCATGGAGCCACCTGAATGGTCAAATTTATACTCTAATTGCCAATCATTCATATTTTGACTTCTATATTCTTACCAGGCCCTTATTTCGCAGGTAAGAGTGCATAAAAGCACACACAGAAGAAGTATGCGGACTGAAATGGTCTATTGAAGGCAATCGACTGGCAAGAAGTGGTAATGATAAGCTTGTATACGGGAGCCTTCCAAATGAGTTAAAGCGAATTCTTTTAAGGATTTATTTCAAGTTGTGATGCAGCCAAGGCCCTTGCATGGTCCCTTATTAAGCTAATGCACTTGCCTCTGGAGGAGGCACAGAAGATGAATGTGTTAAAGATATGAAATTTACTAAGGGACATGCATCAGTAGTGATACTGGAACACAGGCCAGTGAAATGGTTTCACTCTTTCTTATGTGTTTTCTATAGAAACTACGACAAAAGAGACATTAATTTCCTGTTGCTCATCGGCATCTATACTTGTTCGATGTATGGTATTCGCCTTATTTATGGCAATTTGATGTTTTATGTTTTACACGTGCAGATATATGGACTGGAGTGGAACAGGCATCACAAGGAGATACTAGGTGGATGTGGTTTGAGTTGCAGAGGAAAGGAAAACAAGCTATGCTTGTGGAAGCACCCTTCCATGACTAAAGTTGGAGAACTTAAAAGAGTCCTTGACCAGTTTCCCAGGTTTGACTATTTGACGAACTTTAGTTTAGGACCCACTATATATATTGTATTCTTAAATAAATATAACAGCCACCCAAATCAATGTTTTGCAGAGCCCTAAATCCTAATGGTCTAACTGTGTATCAGGCTATAGCTGGGGCGGATGAGACCTCTTCCTTCTGGGAGATTCTCAAATTGAACCACAAAGATTCAAATGTTTCATATCTTGACAATCATCTATCTCAAAGGACAACCAAAAGATTCAAATTATTTAATAACCATACTCCATAATTCACTTTCATTTATTAATTTTCATTATTAGAGAACTATTGAAAATATTATTTGTTTACGTTTTCTTGCCCACCATACTTGATAGTTTTTAGAATATTTTCCACCTATCAATTTTATTACTTATATCAAATGGATCAAAACCTCAACTTCATTATCAACATCCGTCATTTTTAGTGGGAAAGTTGTGAAAATGATAGAACTTACAAATCTTTTACCAATTCTTGCCATTTTTCCTTGAAGTATTATAAACTTTATTTATTGGAATTTATTATGGTATGCACTGGATATAAAATACTCCTACCGTCTATTCCAATGCAATGCCGTCTATTCCAATGCAAATGAGAGACCAAATATTATCATGCTCAATATATCCCTAATTGTTTGTTGGACCTTATATGAAAGTTTTTATGATTATTTTAAGATAAAGATTTTTGTAGGGTGGAGTGAACAATATTGCATATATACTTGTTAGGCAATTTGCATGCATGAAGACAAGACGTACGCACGTTTATATCTCTTCATATTATGCTCAATATGATTATTCATGACAACAATTTAAAATTATTAATTTCATCTTCCCAAAGTAGATTATCACAACTATGGTGGCTAAACTGCCAATCCATTTCTTATGCTAGCTACTTAGATTAAGACTAAGGATTAATTAAAAATCTCAAAATTCAGAGGGCGCCCCTGATATTTACACCCCAAACATTATAAAATCAAAAGCTACATCAAAAAGTGGTAGTTTTTTTCAGCAAGATACTAAAACCATCTGAGAATTTGGAGAGCAACAAAAAGTTATCGAATGTGCGAGAGCTGGTTAGAATTACAGTTTGGATCTTATTACTGTGTGGGTCAGTTTCATTTTCTTTTCAAGAAGAAACCCAGTTCAAAATAGATGGCAAAGTAATAGAGCTGGAAGAATCAAACTTTGAATCAGCAATCTCAGCCTTTGACTTGATCTTGGTCCATTTTTACGCTCCCTGGTGCGGCCACTGCAAGCGCCTCGCTCCTCAGGTCCCTCCCTATTTTGTCTTTTTAATTTTTTACTAAATTGCCTCTTTAATGTTGTTGAATTTACCTGAAGTGTGATATTTTGTGTAATAAGTGTGATATTGCGTTGTATTGAATATGTAAAAAGTGTGTTCTTTGAGTTATAAGTGTGGTATTACTATTGTTTGGACTGTTGGTTTTTGGATAGGGTGAATTAAGCTGCGTTTGATGTAGATTTTAAATATAGTTATTCAAGAAATGATATGAAAAATGGAATTGGTTGAAATGGAAATAAGGTATTCAAGAAATGATATGAAACATAGTTAGGATGTTTTTTTCCGAATGCAGGTTAGGAACCTGGATGGTCAACAACTATGTTATGCAGCCATCGGAATGGTCGCATTTTAACATCAGGAGGCCTTGTTGAATCCATTATCAATCATGGTAATTTTACTCAATTATTATTTTTTTAATCAATTAATATAAATATATTCTATATATTGATTGTTTGATTATGATCTGTAATATGCTTTTGTCGTTTCACTATGTTATCTTTTTCAATGTGGCAAGGTCTGGATTGCTTCTAGTACTACATGAGAAAGAAGTGGAAGAGTACAGTCCAAGTAGAAATGATATCAATCCAAGTGCAAATGAATCTACGCAGATCCCTGTTGACAATGATGGAACAGAATCTAGTGGCAGTGATTACTTTGATGAAGATGAAACCTAGTGAAGGTGACTACTTTGATGCAGATGAATTTGAACCTAGCTACTGAAAGTGATCTGCTTTTAAAAATGATGAAGATGAACGACTTCCTAAAGAATTGAAATTCTTTTGAAGGGAAAAGCCTATATCTTGTAGTTTCATTTTATATATATACTGGTAAGTCCATGTCTCAATTTCTAACAGAAATCTACCTTATTTTACTCTGAATTTCTATGAACAAGTGCAGAAGCTGAATGGCACTTTCTGGTAGGACAAATAACATGTACCAATATAAGGATATGCTGCTTGGATTCATGAAACATTATTTTGGGAACAACAAAACTATAATCCTGAGTGGTTGTTTGTTAGCTTATATTTACTGACTGGAGCTTTTGGAGACACCGTTCAATGGCTAAAGTTGGGGAGTTAAAACTGGCTAAAGTTGGGGAGTTAAAAGCTGCAAAGCTCTAGAGTCCTTTAGTTTTCCCAGGTTTTACTATCTACCAAACTTTAGTGTAGAACCCAGTATCTTGTACTCTTAAATAAATGTAGCTGATTTCTTAAATCAATGTTTTAGAGAGCCCGGATGGCCTAACTTTGGTATCAGCTGGGGTGGACCGATGAGACCCTTGGCTTCTGGGAGAATTTCAAAGCACCTGCTAGTGAAGATTCAATTGTTTTATATCTTGACAGCCATCTTTCTCGAAGGCCAATTAAAGATGGTGAGCAATTATGGGAAAAATCATTTTGTTTCAGTCTGTTTTTCTTCTCCATTTTTTGTTTATTGCACAGTAATCAACTCCTCTGCAGTTCTTTTTCCTTTTTATTGTCTAGGCTTGTATTATCTATAATTTGGTTGTGACCATTAGTATACGCAAAAACAGAAAAGGCCATCACAGGGAAGCAGTGATCAATAAAATAGTTTGTTATAATGCATTCATTGTGCAAAAGATTTGCTTAACTTAGTTTTTAACTTTTAATTCATTAATATATAAATATATATAACTCTCTTCAGCATTACCTTGTGAACCTTCTGGGTGTACTTGCATTTTCTTGGACTGTAGCTATATTATTACGACTGAAGGTATTCATTAGAAGTCAGCAAGTTAAAATTCCTACTTAGATGGTATTATATATAGTTGCCAAAATTAGGTGAGGTAGACGTATAATAGGAATATCGGGCTATGAAAACCTGCCATTAGGCAGATGCATTCAAGTCTACCATGCAGTGTTATCGGTTATGTTTATGGTTATTGTTGAAACTTGCCAGAGGGAAGGGTCTTTTTAGAAGGGAGAGGAAACAGCTTACACAGTCCACAACTGATATTTTCAGGTTAGTACCATTTACATTTTTCATTATAGTTCCTTTAATGGAGTTCTTGCTATCACTATCCTCAAATTATTCCTAACATTTTGCATAAGCGTCATCCTTCCATGACAAGATGAAAGAAGAGGTAGTGGTTGGAATTATCACCGCTGCATAAGTTGTATTCATCCCGAGTCTTCTTAGCAGTTGTAGCTCCTGAATGTTTATATGATCTGTTTATGACTCCGTTAATTGACAGGCATAGCCTCAATTTGAGCACATTCAAATAGGAGTAAAATTAGATATACATTCATTGAAATTCTGTATCCTTTAAGCTTTCACTGAAATTCTATCTAGGAGAATGTTGTTTCAACTATAATCTTAACTTATAGGAGACAAAGAAATGGCAAAAGAAGTCCCCAACTCATGAAATGGAGATTGGAGAAGATAGAAGATCTAGATCTGGACGAGTTTAGTTTATGAACAAGTTAATAATTTGTTTTTCCTTTGCCTAACAAGGGAAGTGGGCTTACTCTATGTATTAGCTGTTTTGTGCTGCCAATAATTTAGTTTAGGTTCTGCCTTTGAACAGGTTAGACCATGTGCCGATTTGTTGAATGATGAAATTTTAGGCTTTGCTGCTTTGGCAAGCTGTTCATTCATGAGCATACTTTTGAGAATAGTAGCAGGTTGATTTTGTAAAATCTTTTCTCCCTTTTTTTGGGTTATTCTGGTCATTTAATTTATTACCTACTAGCAGGGTGTGGAATCGCTTTCAGACGCAGAGCTTTGACAAGCCCGTAGAGATGGAGGATTGGATTATTTTCAGTGGATGGATGAAATTCGGCAACAGGTTAATGCTTAATCATATATGTCAATATATCTTTTATATTTACCAATAATGCAAGCTCTGTATGGGAAGTCCCTTCCTAGTTCCCTCCATAAATGGTTGTTGCATCCAAAAGCCCACTTATCAATTCCAAAAGTCAGCCCTGAGTCTTTAACCTAATGATGACCTTGCATCTTTGCTCTATTAGTATTTGGATACGAAACAAGAAATATAGTAGTCTAATTGAATATTTCACTGACAGTAAACCTAACTCTTGAAACTTCTGTAACTTCCACCACTTCCTTTTGCCGAAAGCAAATTCTGGAAATTGTAATTGGTTTAAGGTTTTATTACATTTTTCTTTGCATATAATTTATATGAAAAATTCATGTGTCTCCGCCTCTAATTCAGTATTTCTCTTTGCAGTTGCGTGATTGGCTGGATTTGTTCTTTCCATCACTCTGTACTATATTTGCTTTCGATTGTTTCAAAGTAATGTTAGTCATTGTTTCAAGACAGAGGACTAATTAAAAATAGATGAGGAAGAACTTACATCGAGGTGCTGTCTGGTCAGAATCTGCAGCAGCAGTAGCGCCATTCCTACTGCTTAGTAAAAGCAGGGCAAGGAAATTCAAAGAATAATCAAACAAATTTGTATAGATCCTCAAATATGTGCATTAACTTATATTAGATACACGAATTTGTGATATACATTTATTTTGCAATGTCTAGTTTGAAATGTATATGTAATCAATGTAATTCTGCATTTCTTATTTGGTTGCGAAGTGTGAAGGAATGTTGGATTTGGGCATGCCCTAAATATAACACCCATGAGTACAACACATTGGAACTACACGGATAATTGGATTGCAGTTATTAGCAGTTTATAGGCAATTTTCTAATCTCTCTATATATTAATATGATTTGTTTTAATGGGTTTACCATGCGATCACTCTTGTAATATGAAAATCTATCAGTCAAATTCAGTAGTTCAAGTGTCAGAAGCCACCAACCAGTAGTAGTGGAGTAGTAATGGTTTGTTTTAAATCACCATCATATTAATTAGTTTTATAGCATTAATATATTATTATTTGCAATTCTTGATTTCGTCCAAATCTTACTTAGTCCTATCAGTATAAATTAATACTTGAAAATTAATAATTTAAAATTCATAAAAATCTTTTTTTAAGGGTAAATTGAAATCTGATTTCTTCTTAATTGATTTAGTAGATAAAACCCTCCATCTAATTTATTTTCACTTTTATCCTCTTCCCTCTAGCAGCTAGGGAAATCTAGTCTAGCACTTGGTGGCTTCACTTTAGCACTAGAGTCCAATTGACACTAGCACTAGAGTAAAAAAATTTCAATACGGCTCCTCCCTTATGTGCATAACGAGAGTAATACAAGAAATTAAAAAAGATTGAAATATTCTCCTTATGAACTGAGTGGGGCTAATGTTTTTACAAGAAATCTCTAGCCAATCTTCTTGCAAAAGATATTTTTTCTTAACATCGCGCGTTTTGGTACTAGTACTAAATAAAATAGCTAGTACCAAATAAAATAGAAACTCCAACAATTTCTTTGTTCTCAACGCCCCTTTATTTCTAGGAATTAATCACTTCAACAATCTTCGATGATTATAAGGGTATCCAAAGTACAAACGAGATGGATGTTTGTTATCCCAACCATTCTTCTTACTCCCAATCCCGATAAGGAAAAGGGGTAATTTATAACAAAGTTTTCGTTCTGCGGAATAGATTAAGGCCAACCCTTAAAGCAACTAGCAACTCTAACTGTCAAGACAAATTGAACGAGAAAGCACCATACACCTTACTCTTGGGTATGGAGCCAGCATAGGTCAAGTATAACATGTGTCCAAGAATAAGCCTTGCCGTTCATTGGCATTGTAAATATGCGGTTACGAATAATCAAGCCAAAGTAATAGGAATTAGACCTACGACGATTCCAAATAGAAAAACTTCAATCATTTCAATTTAATTTCTTTGAAAGGGGGAAAAGAGAGGTAATATCTATCCCTAAATATTAATCCGTATTGTCTAGGAATCTCAATGCCCAGTAATTGGTAATTAACACGGTAAGGAACTAAAGAATATCTAGAATACCACAGTAGGATTTCTTTTTATGAATTATTCATTCAGTGAATTTCAAATAAGTCCTATCTTATTTAGACCAATAAATAGAGTCGAAGTTATAGTTAAAACCGCCAGTAGAAACCGAAATAACTAGTTGTAGTAGGCATGAAGGAGCTAAAGGAAATATTTTCTTAAAGGGGGGCGAATTCGTTCTCGCGTCACAATACCCGATAGTGATGTGGCTACCCACTACCAAAATGAAGCAAATACTAAAAACCAAAAAGAAAGCGGGATTCATTTTTGGTTTTTGAGTGATTGTATTTTTTTTATAGTGGAAATGCCATAAAGCACGAATCAAGATACATAATAAGAAAACCAAAATCAAAATGAGGAAGAAAAAAATATCGTGATGTAAGTCTGTTATTCTTTGCATCATAGGTCTTCCCAATTTGACTACGTTTTGAAATGTCCCTAGATATGGATGTACATCATACGGATCCATTGTAAGGAAGAAGAATTCCAGAATAATCATAAAAACTTTTCATTTCATCCTCGCCTCTTGCTCTTCAGTCTCGTGTCATCGTCCTAAGTTAGGATCATGCAGTTCCATTGCCACTATTGGTTTTTAGTAGGAGTCCATCTTTGGCATTCCACACGATCTAGTTTCTTTTGATTCGGTTCAGACAAGGGATAGGGATGAAAGTAACTTTCAGTAAAGGCGAGGCAATAGATAGGGCCCTTTTATCTGAGGGAAAGAGTTGTACATCCATTTCAAATGCGTATCACATTTTTGCGCAGCAGGGTTTTGAAAATCCACGAGAAGCAACTGGTCGTATTGTATGTGCCAATTGCCATTTAGCTAATAAGCCTGTGGATATTGAGGTTCCACAGGCCATACTTCCTGATACTGTATTTGAAGCAGTTGTTAGAATTCCTTATGATATGCAACTGAAACAAGTTCTTGCTAATGGTAAAAAGGGGGCTTTGAATGTAGGGGCCGTTCTTATTTTACCAGAGGGGTTTGAATTAGCCCCCCCTGATCGTATTTCGCCCGAGATGAAAGAAAAGATAGGCAATCTGTCTTTTCAGAACTACTATCCCACTAAAAAAAATATTCTTGTGATAGGGCCAATGCCTGGGCAGAAATATAGTGAAATCACTTTTCCTATTCTTTCCTCGGACCTTGCGACTAATAAAGATATCCACTTCTTAAAATATCCAATATACATAGGTGTTAACAGAGGAAGGGGTCAGATTTATCCCGACGAGACCAAAAGTAACAATACAGTTTATAAACTTTGTTGATCAAACAGATTGTCCAATTTAGAAAAACCAAGTTCTAAAGTAACCAAAACATTCACAGCAAGATAGAGATATAAAGAAAATAAGAGCATAAACAATAAAGAGCATACACACAGATTTATAGTGGTTTGTTAATCAGATTGATTACCTACATCCACTTTTCAGGGCAGTAGAAAATATACACTATGAAGAGAAACCTTACAAAGTTTGTGAGTCAGTTTTACACCCAGAACCCAGTGACAACTCCCCTCTGTAAATCACCCTAGATTGCTCCCATGTGTCTCACACCTTTCACACAAAAATACATAGAATTGATCAGAATTTATACAAGAGAAAAAGGAAAAAATCAGTTACAAAAAAAAAAAACTCATCACCATCATTGATCTCATCCTGCGAATACCAAGGCTCCACCTTGATATTTTCCCTCATAACTTTCTCTCTATGTAACAAGAAGAGAACAATCCAGAGAGCAAAATGAAAGTGTCGTGATAAGGCACAACAAATATCCCAAAATGAAATTACAAAACTGTCCCTTTCTTTCTTCTAAATTGCCTCTAACCAAAGTTTATAAACTTTGACTCCACATAAGCATAAATCAATGCCACATTAGCACAAATCTCCACCTTGGCATCTGATTTCTTCATCCCCTACTACCCAAGAAATTTCCTTCATTCTTACTCAATCTGGAGCAGGCTCTTAAAGAGCCTTAGTTTATCCAAAATAACAACTTTGGTAAACATATCTACTGGATTCTCTTTCCCAAGGATTTTCTCCACCTTAATAATCTTTTCGTCAATCATATCTCTGATGAAGTGCAGCCTCACATCAATGTGTTTGGACCTTTCATGAAAGGTTTGGTTTTTGCATAGGAACATAGCACTTTGGCTATCACTCTTGGTTTGAACTTGAGCTTGATTAAATCCCAGCTCACTAAGCATTCCCTTGAGCCAAATTGCTTACTTGGCAGCTTTTGTAATAGCCACATACTCAGCTTCTGTAGTTGATAGAGTCACAATAGCCTACAAATTAGCTTTCCAACAAACCAGATTATTTCATAAAGAGAAAACAAAATGTATCATGGATTTCCTATTATCAGGATTTCCAGCATAATCAGCATCTACACACCCCACAATGAAATCTAGCATGTTTTTCTCTTTACTATACACAATTCCTGTTGACATTGTTCCCCTAATATACCTTAGGATCCATTTCACTGCTTCCCAATGAGGTTTTCCAAGATTACTCATGAATCTACTAACATAGCTTACTGCAAAGGCTAAATCAGGCCTTGTACAGACCATAAGGTACATTGGACTTCCTATTGCATTAGCATAAGGGATATCAATCATTTCCTTTCTCTCATCTTCTGAACTAGGACACTTATTCAAGCTTAATTTAATATGTTGCCCCATTGGTGTTTTGACAAGTTTACAATCAAGCATATTAAATTTTCTAATAACTTTCTCAGCATACTTCTTTTGCGATAAAATAATCCTCCCTGTTTTCCTATCTCTCACAATGTTCATTCCTAGGATTTTCTTAGCCTGCCCCAAATCTTTCATTTCAAATTGTTTGTTCATTTCTACCTTAAACTTAGCAATTTCAACAACATCTTTACAAGCCAACAACATGTCATCAACATAAAGTGCTAAGTAAAGATAGCAATCATCATATAAACATTTGAAATAAAGGCAGCTATCAAACTTACTTCTTTTAAAACCACAAAGGATATGAAACTGTCAAATTTTTTTACCATTACCTACGGGACTATTTTAGTCCATACAAGGACTTCTTTAACAAACATACCTAATTTCTTGCACCTTTTTCAAACATTTCAGGTTGTTCCATCATGATTTTTTCTTCTAGATCACCATTCAAGAATGCTGTTTTGACATTGAGTTGCTGTAATTCAAGTTCAGATTGAGCTACTATAGACAATAAAACCCTAATGGTAGTGTGCCTTACCATCAGTGATAAAATTTCAGTATAATCTACCCCTTCAACTTGTGTAAAGCCGTTAGCAACCAACAGCTTCTACCCTTGGAATTCCTTCCTTCCTTTTGAAAACTCATTTGCACTTAACAACTCTACTCCCTTCAGGTTTCCTAATAAGAACCCAAGTTTTATTCTTCGTCAAAGATCATATTCTCTTGCATAGCTAACCTCCACTGCTTAGATTCTCTGCTTTCCATAGCTTCCCTAACAATTTTAGGTTCATCTTCTATTTCTTCAGCAACTTGAAATGCAAAGGCAACCATGTCAGCTTGTGAAAACCTCCTAGGCAACCTAATTTCTCTCATTTGCTTGTCTCTAGCTAACTGGTAATTCTCCAATTCAATTTCTTCATCATAAACTATATCATTTTCATTCTCCTCTAACACAAATTCTTCATCTCGAGTTTGTAAATCTCCTTGCTAATATTATGGTTTCAGATTGCCAGAATTGTCAGAAGGAGCTTCTCCATTCATTTCAAACCTAATTATTTCAGAATTCATCTTATCAGTCTTTTCATTCAAGCTACTCAATTCTTCTTTATTAAATTTGACATCCCTACTGATTATGCATCTTTTCCTAGCAACATCCTAACACTTGTACCCTTTTACCCCATTAGGATACCCTATGAAAATACACCTAATGGCTCCAGGTTGTAACTTATCAGATTTTTCGTGCACAAAGACAATGCAACCAAAAACTCTCAAGCTACCATAATCAGCTGGATGTCCTGTCCATCTCTCAATGGGTGTTTTAAATTCTATAGCTGAGGAAGGAATTCTATTGATCAGAAATACTGCTGTATGAGCAGCTTTAGCCAAAAACTTAGTGGGAAGTTTGGAACAAGACAACAAGCTTCTAACCTTCTCCAATATAGTTCTATTCATCCTCTCAGCTAACCCATTTTGTTGTGGAGTATATCTAACTGTCCAATGTCTGAAGATTCCACTATCCTTACACAGTTTATCAAACTCCTCATTTATGAATTCTAAACCATTATCAGTCTTTAATTTCCTAATTTTCTTTCCTGTCTAGTTCTCAATCATCACTTTCCATTCCCTGGACTTACCAAAAGCTTCTCCCTTTTTTTTTTTTTTTAAAGAAATAGATCCATACTGTCCTAGAGTAATCATCTATGATGCTAATAAAATACTTACAACCTCCCACAAATGGATATTTAGTTGGCCCCCATACATCAGAATGGATATAATCTAAGATAGCCTTGGAATAGTGTGTTCCCACTCTAAATCTAATTCTACTCATCTTCCCATAGATGCAATGATCATAGAAATCTAGCTTCTCTACTTTATCCCCTCCTAGAACCTTTTGCTTACTCAGCTCAACTAGTCCTTTTTCACTAACATGCCCTAACCTCCTAGACCATAAAGCTGTCCTATTGGACTTTTGAGATAAAGATACAGCTACTGTTCCAGTGATGGTTAAACCATTTAGAACATACAACCCATTCTTCTTCTCACCCTTTATTACAACTAAGGATCCTTTAGTGATTTTAAGGACTCCACCTTGAGCCTTATAGCTATAGCCAATTGAATTTAGATTTCCTAAAGAAATTAAATTTCTTTTCAGCTCTGATATGTATCTAACATCTGTGAGCCATTTTGAGCTACCATCATGCAAATTCAGCCTTACATCTCCTATTCCTAAGACTCTACAAACTACATTGTTGCCCATCAAAATTTTTCCAGATTCTAATTTTCTAAAATTTGACAGAAAACTCCTATTTGGAGTCATGTGGAAAGAACAACCAGAATCGAGTATCCATTCAGCTTCAATTTCAGTTTCAGAGGCTACCAACACATCAGAACTCTCAGAGCCATCGGAAGCTACATCTACACCCCCACTAGCATCCTTTTCTCTTGATTTTTTCTTCCTATTAAGATAGTCCCTCTTTCAATGACCTTCCTTATGACAGTGGAAGCATTTTCTAATAAATTTTGACTTACACTTTGATCTACCCATGAAACTCCCTTTCTTTTGACCTTTCTTTTCAGCTCTTCCTCTCACATATAACCACTCACCATCAGTTTACCTTCTTTCCTAAACTCAGTGTCTTTTGTAGTAATTGCAACTACAACCTCATCTAGTTTAAGGGTTTGCCTACCATATTGTAGGGTATCAACAAAGTTAAGAGTACATTTTGGGTAGTGAGTTTATGAGGATAATAGCTTGGTCCTCATCTTCTACTTTAACACTTAGACCTTCTGAGTCTTGCACTAATTTCATAAAGTCATTCATATTATCACCTTCTGACTTTCCCTCATCCATCTTAAAACCAAAGAATTTTTGTTTTAAAACTAATATATTAGGGGAAGACTTAGATAGGTATAAAGAGTTTAGTTTTTCCCAAACCCCTGCTGGTGTGGTCATTTTCTTTACCTCTCTCAAAACTTTGTCTTCTAATCCTAGAATTAAGGTACTATGAGCCTTATCTAAAAGGTCTTTCTTCTCTTTTTCAGTTAAAGACTCTGGTAAGCTATCCTCACCCTCTAAGGTAACTGATAACCCATCCTTAACTAAGACAGCCCTCATTTTGATCTTTCACAACCCATAATCATTGTCACTTGTGAACTTCTCTATTTCAAACTTAGACATATCTAGGTTTGCTAGTTCCTTAGTTACCAGGAGATGCTAAAACCCCCAAAAATTCAAGATCTAGAATAAATCCTAAATTAAGAACAGTGACGAAATTTAGACAAACCCAAATTCGAACAATCTCTAATTCCAGACCTAACGAAGCTCTGATACCACTTGTTGATCAAATAGATTGTCCAATTAAAAAAAATATAAGTTCTAAAGTAACCAAAACATTCAGAGCAAGATAGAGATATAAAGAAAATAAGAGCATAAACAATAAAGAGCATACACACAGATTTATAGTGGTTTGGTAATTAGATTGATTACTTACATCCACTCTTCAGGGCATTAGAAAATATACACTATGAAGAGAAACCTTACAGAGTTTGTGAGTCAGTTTTAGACCCAGAACCTAG